TCTTAAACAACCAGATCTCGTGAGAACTCACTCACTCAGCATTGAGAGGGGAGACAATCTGCTTATTCTCTACTCAGAAAAACTCCTCCCCCTACCCTAGGACTTCAATTAAGGTAAGCCCATCTTCAGAGAAACCCAGGATTCTTTAATATGCCATCTGTTTGGCTATCTCATAAGTTTCTCCACCTGATTTCTCTGAAGTGCGAGGCATTAAATCTGCCTCCACACCCACTTCATTTTCTTTATTTGATTATCTTATTGTGTTTTTCACCTACCCATTTCCTTGAGTTTTTTTCTCTTCCTTCACAGCCACTTTCTTGCAGTTATTCAATAAAAACCAGAAATGCCAACAGCTTCATTTTCTACCTTCCTGCTTTATAAAAGAACTTTATGTACACTCTGCTGGACTTTAAACGATGTATAGAAAGAGGCATCTTGAAAAGAAATACTTATTACTTTTTGGTTTCCCCATGTTATTTTCTTCAGTTGGCTTCAATAGAAAAATGTTTCAGATTTCAATATTTGCTTGGGTTTTTAGAAATATTTCTTTGAGGTACTTTAAATTTTAAAAAGCCACTATATATGCTGTGCGTTTTTTTTTTTTTTAAGTCATAACTAAGGTCTTTTCTGTGATCAATTCTTGGGTTTCATAAAAACAGCCTAGTCACCTTGTTAATGATCAGTGTCATATCAAATATCTTGTCAATATACTGCCTGAATTAAATCTATTGGGAGTTTGAATAAATTTTTAATAAAAATGTTAATCAAATGCATCCAAAGAATATAATATTGAAAAATACTTTCACTTTAATTCATTCTTTATCTCTCCTCATTTTCCAATTACAATGTAAATTTCTCCTCTTCCAAATCGCTCTAACTTTGCTTCAGGTGATCCCATTCTATTTGTTTTCCTACTTAGTGATTCCACCTACTTCTATAGACTTAAATTAAGTTTAATTACATTTATGTTACATTACATAAAAACGCAAATTTTTCCTGATAGTTCTTGAGATTAAGAACCTATTGCATAGAATCTTATATTCTCATAAATGAACACTTATTAGGCACCTATGTGAATCCAACACATTAATTATTATGGTAAAAGGTCTCTTATAAAGACTTTAGCCTACTCTTACCCTATAGAATAAAATAATTATAACCTACAAATACTCAATTCTGTCTACATTAAAATGATAGGTGAAACTATAGACCGTAAGTTCTATTGGTACTTAATGAAAGCCTTACAGAAAAAATGTAACATAAGTAGCTCTGAGAATTTAAAGTAGAGGGAATTAGTCATTCCTCTTTGTTAAAAAGATAAGGAAGAGAGTATAGAATATGTACATGCCAATCACAATAACTGTTAAGATAAATTTATACTTTATTTCATCATCATGAAGTTGGGGTTCTGTCTAAATCTGTTTACTGAAAGCGGTATTTAGAATTTTTTTCTTATCAGTAGAACTGAGATTTTATAAAATCTACTTCACCTGTGTATGCGGTACTTAGTAGCCACTCAACAAATATTTATTTTGTCCTTCATCCTTATTTAGAAATTGTTTAGATTAATGTTTTCCCTAATGTTTTCCATGAAATGCTAATATCTTGGGATATATTTATAGATATCTCCTGCAAGAAGAAATGATTCTTTGATGAAATAAACCTGAGAAATGCTGGATTAAATAGAGTTTAACTGCTTTCTGTTCTACAGAATTTCTCAGGGTCTTTAGTATTTGAATATGCAGGGTTTGTTCTGATAGGTGCTCTGGTTGGCCAGCAATCATTATTTTAAGGAGGATTTTAGTCAGTTCCATGGATACTCTGACAAACTCAGGTTTTCCATACAGAACATAACACTTTCTTAGGCCAATTTTGCCAACTCCTCCAACTTCACAAGATTACCATTGAAGCCCTTAGTAGGACACACATGCTAAATATCAGAATATTTTTAAACAAGGTCATTCTGATCATACAGATTGAAATTTTGTCAATTACCCAAGCATTCACTCATATTAATATATGATTATGACAAACATATTGATACCAACTCTTCAGCATTTCTGAGTGCTCACTGTGTATTAGACATTGGTAACCCCCAGATGAGCAGATATAGTCTCCACTCTTCAAGAACTCATGTTTTGTGAAACTGCCATTTGACAAACTGGTTTCAATCGAAACAATGAAAAATAATAAATATTGGCAAGGATATGGAAAAATTGTAACCTTCATACATTGCTGGTAGAAATGTAAAATGGTGCAACTACTTTAGAAAATAGTTTGGTAGTTCCTCAAAAGGTTAAACATAGAGTTACCATATGACACAGCAATTCTACTCCTATGTCTGTATTAGTCAGGGTTCCCTGGACTGATGGAACTAATAGGACAGATGTACGATAGATGTATATATAAAAGGGAGTTTATTAAGGAGAATTGACTCACACAATCACAAGGTGACAAGGTGAAGTCCCATAATAGGCGGTCTGCAAGCTGAGGAGCAAGGAAGTCAGTCTGAATCCCAAGCCCTCAAAAGTAGGGAAGCCAACAGTGCAGCCTTCAGTCTGTGATCAAAGGTCCAAGAATCCCAAAGCTGAAGGACTTGGAGTCTGATGTTTGAGGACAGGAAACATCCAGTATGGGAGAAAGATGTAGACCAGAAGACTAAGCCAGCCAAGTCTTTCCACGTTCCTCTCCCTTCTGCCCTGGCTGCGATGATAGCTGATGAGATGGTGCCCACCCAGATTGAGGGTGAGTATGGCTCTCCCAGTCCACTGACTCGAATGTTAATCTCCTTTGGCAACACCTTCACAGACACACCCAGGAACAATACTTTGCATCCTTCAATCCAATCAAGTTGACACTCAGTATTAGCCATCACAACGTCCAAGAGAGATGCATGCAAAAACTCATACATGGATGTTCATAGGTGGAAAAAGCCCAAATGTCCATCAACTAATGAATGGATAAATTGTGGTATATCTAGACAATGGAATATTATTCATCCAAAAAGGAATGAAGTGCTGATACATGTTATAACATGGATGAACCTTGAAAACCCTATAGAAAGTGAAAGAAACCAGTCACAAAAGACCACATATTATAAGATTCTACTTACAGAAAAAATCTAAAATAGGTAAATCTGCAGAGGCAGAAAGTAGTTTCTTGGTTGCTTAGGACTGTGGGAATTGGGAGGGAATGCGGAATGACCGCCAATGGATATGGGTTTCTTTCAGGAGTGATAAAAATGTTCTAAAATTGATTGTGGTGATAATAGCAGAATTCTGTGAATATACTAAGAACCATTGAATTACATGCTTTAATGGAGTGAATTGTATAGTATGTGAATCATATCCCAATAAAGCTGTTAAACATTTTTTTAAAGTTATGATCTTAATATTTGGAACAATAATTTACTGTGTTAGATTTTGTTTGGATTTTCTGCTTTGGTTTACAATGGCTGCCTCATGCTTGTTCTCTGCTATTTGGAGTGAGCTTTCAGCTATCTGCAAACTTCCCTGCTGCTCTCTCTGAAATATAGTTAGCTTCTGATCCATACATCTTTAAGAAAGAATTTTCCTGCTGCTCTGTTCTTGGCAGTGGCTGTGCCAGGCACTTCCATGGCTTCTCCCAGCCTGCCACCTACATTCTATGTCCCACAAAAAGACTTCACCATTTTTTCTTGGCGTTTTCACAAATGTGGACTTTTTCTGTACCTCTGGAGCACTGGTGTCCATGGAGTGACTTTCCTTTATAAACAAACCACTGAGCTGGCTTGGCTCTACCTCTTGTCTTGATCTGCCAGTGTCATATCCTAGGGGTTGGGCCTGGTACCCTCACTTCTTACCTCATCTCAAATGCATTCTTAACATAAACCAGTCGAGCTGAGGTTTCTCTATTCTATATTTATAAAGCAAAGTCCTTGACCCAGTCCCCATCTCTATGTTCATGGGGAAAACTCCTACAGTAACCTTTATTTCAGTGCATCATTTTCCTTGGCTAGTTTAAATACAATATCTCTTATTTCATTCTCCTTCTAACCCAAACCCAAACTGATTTCTAAGGTGATCCCTGATAGCAGACCTAGTCGTTTATACAAAATGTCATGTTAGTCATCATTGACAGTATAACATTTCTGCTAAAGTAAGTGAATCTTATTTTATGTTCTAGGTACTAGGCAGTGTTCAAAGGTAATGATGTGGCCATTAAAACTTTTTCTCCACAAAAAGAAATTATTAAATGATGAATGGCTTGACATCCAGATTTGCCTACTTCAAATAGCTCTTTACCCCAGATATGTTAGTGTTAGGAATGATTAAACTTGGATGTATAGTATGTGGAAGGAAAGGTAATCCTAGGTAGATATCTACTAGAATAAGTACTAGTAATGTGACCAATGTGAGGGTAAGTCAAAACAATGGCTAAGATTTCTTCCAAATCTAACACTAGATGACTAGATTTCCCATCAAACCCCTAGAGTTTCACAAAGATTCTATCTGCACCTCTGCTATCCATATATTCTAAAGGTTTTAACTTGAATAAGGAAAAATGTCATGCAAAATAAATAATCCACAATGAAACTAGCTACCACAGATAAATAAAAATTCATAGATACTGATTTCCCCCTCAAAAAATATCACATACATACTCAACATTATTATAGGGCCAGTGTTGCCTAAACTTTGACCATTTAAGTTTTATGTCAACCTATATATTTATTCACTTAAAATTTTGTCTTCAGTGGAATTTAAGTTGGGCTACTTTTTTATAATTAGCCATACCCTAAGCAATCATAAGCTTGATTGTGCTAGTTTTATGTGTTTTTTCTAATAATTATTAAAAGAAATCCATAATCCATAAAATAATGTTTCACTAAATACCGTCTAGAAATGTGCAGTATACTCTCAGCAAGAAACACACTGAAATTTGGAAAATACCAGAGTAGCTTATGAAAATAAGGATATAAACACTGGTCCAGAAAATAAGACTTTGTGCTTAAAGGAATCTACTATACTAATACTTCCACTGCATTTATTAAGATAGAAAATCATCAACTGCTACATCCATTTTTCATTAGAGATGCTGATTCTATACATTATTTTTAAATGGGTGTGATAGGACTGCCAGTCAAGGGATAGAGTTTCCGTTTTACATCTGAATTAGCATAAATCCCACTCTCATCATGCCAAGTGTTGATGCCAAATCTTTTAGAACCATTTAGATCCGTGAACTGAGAACGGCATTTTCTGTGGACTATGGAATAATCATCTCGACAGGGATAAGCCTATGGGGGGAAAAAAAGAGAAATAGTATTTAATAACCGAAATATGTAAAAAGAAGTAATCTTCAAAAGTTTATCTTTTATATATTATTCTTATGATCGAAGGTTAATTTTTAACAATTGATTAATTTGTTCTCTTGAATAGCAGATATTTCAATTTTAAAAATGGCTATTGCATTCATAATTACTTCAAATCCCAAAAAAAGAACATAGTTCATGGTTGTTTATAAAACGAAAAAGTCACTACACATGTAAAATTTTTCTAAACCACAAATACACAGTATAAAGAACAATTTAAGTTTTATGATCATATATATAAGACCAAAACAATTATAATTTAATACAATTCAACACCTTTTAAAAAATATGTTATAACTATTGCAAAGAATATCATCTTGGGTTGTATCTTTAATAATTGTTACCAAGTCTTACTTCCCATGGCAATGATAAATGCCAAGCTCTGATACATTCCTGTAAGAATTTACCTCAACATAAGCCAGTGTAGTGTTTAAGATGTTTATACTTAGGCCACTTCAGAAAAGCTTCATTGCAATAAAACAAGATATTATCATTGACTATTTCCCAAAGGAAATACTGATCCTTTCCGATTACACCAAGGGTAATGGCAGACATGGAACATAAAGCCTTTTAACTGATTATCTAATTTCTGCTTTAAATTGGCTCTAATTTTAAAGCACTAGGACATTATTGAAATTAAATCACCAAAGCTATAAAACAACGAAAGAACACCAAAAGTTAAAATCTTAGATTGGTTTTGTCAAAAATAATTGAAAAATGTTATCATATGTTCAACCTTAATAGTGTCCATGTATTTATTGAGTGCCTTTTATGGGTTAGGCACAAGTATTTGAGTGTTTTTATTTTTTAATCCGTAACTGGGCTCTAAGGTATGAATTATTACACCCACTTTACACACAGAAATGATGATTTGCTTAAAATTTCAGGAGAGAATTTAAAGAAAGTCAGTAATAAGCAACTAAGCCAGGACTACAAATTAGATCTATCTGACTATAAAACTCATTATCCCTCCAGAACCCTAACAAAACCTTTATCAATTAAGAGATGAAAATATAAACTATAAAATTGTAGAGCTATATAATATCTGTGTCACTGTTCTATGTAGTTTGGGCTTTTGCTTTTGTCATTCGGGCTATTTCTTCAGGTGTTATGGTTGGTTGCTTGGTGGGTAGGTCAAATAGAGGTCCTTTAAATGAGATTTGAGCATCACTGGCCCAAAATGTCCCCTCGAAGGCAGGTGAGATCTCTCATCCCCATCCCTGTTGCAGTCAAACTGAAGAGAGCTTCAAATGCAGCGTCTATGTGCTCCTTTAGTATTTCATAGGCAGAGAGAAGGATTTTTATGAGGTGAGTGACAAGCTGAAATGTGCTGTTCTAGGAAAGTGATTCTGGTAGCAGAAGCACTAAAGACTAGAGGAGAAAAAAACTGGATTCTGGAACTGTGATTAGAATTGGATCTCAATCATTCAAATGTCATCAATTACATGAATAAACAAATGTAGTCTAGACATACAATGAAATATTATTTGTCAACAAAAGGAATAAAATACTGATACATGCTACAGAATTGAAAGACCCTGAAAACATTATGCTAAGAAGTGAAACCACATATTGTACAATCTCTTGTATTAAGTGTACAGAGCAGGCAAATTCACACAGACAGAAAAGTAGACTGGTGATTGCCAGGGAGTGGGATGATGGGAAGGAATGGGGAGTGACTGTTAATAGGTATTGAGTTTCCTGCAGTACAAAAATGTGAAATTGATTGTGGTGATTGTACAATCCCATAAATATACTAAAAAATCACTGAATTATACACTTTAAAAGGGTGAGTGTTATAGTATGTGAAATTATATCTCAGTGAAGCCGTTATTAAAAAAAGAATGGACCAGGCACAGTGGCTCACTCCTGTAATCCCAACACTTTGGAAGGCCAAGGTGTGAGGATCACTTGAGGCCAGGGGTTTGAGATCAGCCTGAGCAACACAGTGAGACCATGTCTCTATAAAATATAAAATTAGCTGGGCATAATGACATGTTCTTGTAGTCCCAGCTACTCGGAATGCTGAGGTGTGAGGATCACTTAAGCCTAGGAAGCTGAGACTGCAGTGAGCTATGATCGTGCCACTGTTCTCCAACCTGGGCAACAGAGCAAGACCCTGTCTCAAAAGAAAAAAAAAAAAAGAAGAATGCATCGGAAGTAGCAATTCTGACATTAGAAAAACTAGTTAAGAGACTCTTGCCTGTTAATCCATGTTAGTTATATTGGGTTCCTCTTATTCTCAGTGCTGTGTTGGTAAACCAGCTCTAAAAAATTAAAATTGTAATATTTGCCAATTTCTGTGGCATAAATACTCCCACTAAGGCTAACTTCAAGTCACCAGAGTGAGGTCAGTGAACACCGATGAAGAGGTGAGCATAGTTAGCTCATGCCAACTGTTAAGAGCTGGCTCCAGCTCGCCCCTGAGTCCACTTCTCCCATTTCCCAGGGTGTATCAGGGATGCGCTTTGAGTAGGATTGATCCCAGTCCCAGGTCTAGCAGCAGAATCTAATTGGCTAAAGACAATCAGAACAGTGGCATCTCATTCTCAATGACAGTGATAGGTTCAGTGTTAGGCATGTGACTTAAATTGGTCCAAACAGATTTAAGCCCAGGACTTCTGTTCAATGGTTTATGTGAAGGAAGTTCTTTTCCACAACTGGACATAAATGAAGAAGCATCTATCCCAGGGTGCTGTTTGCAGCTGTCCTAGAACCAATCTAGCATGAAACCAACACCATAAAACTTACATCTGAGAGTCAGTAAGAAACACAATAGCATTACTACATCAATCCTTTCCTGAAGTCTGACTTTTTAGAACATGGAAGCCACTAAGTTGCTTTTATAGTCTGACCCCAGTTTGAGCTGGATTTTGTACATCTTATTAAAAGCATCCTAACATACACCTGAATAATCTACAATATTGGAACACCAAGATATTTGGAATCAGAGCAAATAAATGGGTCAAAACCAAGGGAGCAGGGCATATATGAAAAGTAGGAGTGAAGGAAAACAGGAAATTTGTGACAAAACATACAACTAGGAATCAGAAACATGCAAACATGAAATAGGAAAACAAGGCAGGCATTCAAAAATTAGAACAACTTGCTAGAAACCTAGAGGGTATAATTATTCTAAGAAAGCAGAGCAAGTATGCTTTTCAAAGTTTAATACAAAAAGCATGGAACAGAATAGAAAAAAAAAAAGGTACACCAAGAACAACCTCAAAAAACTTTAATATTGATTGCAGCTCAGAACCAAGGCAAAACTGATATCATGGGAACCCTGGACAATAAAGTTGTTTGGTATACCACTCAAGCCAATAAAGGGGGTAATAAGTGGAAAATTATTCATGTGTTTTCCTCTTTCCATGTATATAACCACTCATTTGTACTTTGTTTCAGAAAAACACCAACCAAAGAGCAAAATCATACCAGCTTCTAACATACCTAGTAGGATTTTTCAGCAAGACAATATCCTTGTAATCCAACTCACAGTTTTGAGGACTTTAGAATGTCAATGATCAAACCTGGGAGATTATAGAGGTCTCCAAATGGGTAGAGAAAATATCCTTTGCTACGAAAGCTTAGAGAAGAGCTGAAATGAAGAGATGGAAGATAGCGAAGAACCTATCTAGTGAATTGTGAGAATTAAAAAACAAAGGGGAAAGGAGAGCAGAACGAGCCCACATTATGTCCCAATTTTCCCATCCCTGGGCTTTAATCAGGCAAAGTCCCTTTGACCTGAATAGTGAATGGTACACTAGACAAATGAGAATGATGGCAAAAAACACACAGGAGCTTCCTTGTCCCCATTTCTGTTGGAAACTCTTGAAATAGATCAACTCTCAGATGGCCCTTTCCTTTCACTAGCATGGTCAGGTAGAGGGAACCACTAAGATTCATCAATCCTGAGCCACTTTTGTTTTCCTGTGGCATGGATGAGATCCTAAGGTAGCTACAAGTCTGCAGAGGAGGATACTAACAGGGGCTACAGAGCCGACCACTGGAGCTGGGGCTGCGTAAGAGTCACAGAAGGTGTCTGTGGGGTGTACAGTGTCTATGGGAATGGAAATGAGGCTGAGTCATCCCAACCAAGCCCAGAGATAGAGAGAAAAAGACTGCCAGTTACAATGTCCATAAAGTTTGGTCACTAATGCCAGCAAAGAAAAGAGCAACCAGGTAGACTAGGGATATCACCTCAGAGAACAGAACAGGCAGAAAATACCACATGTAAAACCCTACTCCTCCCTTCTGGCATCAGGATGCTAAGTCACATCCTTCTCTCCATATATCTGGATGCCATTGTAGGGAAAGCTGCATTCTTGTTGCTGCAAACAACCCACTCTGTTCATACTAGTGTAAAACAATAGGCATTTCACTATGCCTCCAGATTCTTTGGGTCAGGAATTTGGACAGGATATGGCAAAGGCAGCCCTCTGCTCTGCAATGTTCAGGGTCTCAGCTGATTCATAGAAAGAAGACAGATTCATAGAAGACATGAAAGTTGGAAGTGAGTTGAGGGTAGGGGTTGTACACATCTCATTCCTTTTGGTCACCGATGCTGGCTGGCTGCTGGGACCTTGGCTGGGGCTATTGGTTGGAACAGCTGCATGGGTCCTCTGCCTGGCTTCCTCACAGCACAGTGACTGGCTCCTGAGAATGAGCATCCCACAAAGTGAAACAAGAGGAAGGTGTATTGCTCTTTATCACCTAACCTTGAAAGTCACATAGCATCCATGCCACCATAGTCACAGTTCACCACAATTCTCTGAGGGGGTAATTTAGACTCTGCTTCTCAGTTGGAGGAATGTCAAAATCACATTGTAAGAGCATGTGGGAGAGGAGCACATGTTGTGACCAATTTTGGAAAATACATTTTTCTCCTCTTTTCAGGGAGAAAAGAGTATGGTGTATTGGGGTCT